GTCTTGCAGCATAGAGAAGGGCTTTCTTTCTTGCTTGTTGAAACCCCTTGTAAGGTTATTTGTTGTTTTTTGGTTTCGGGGATGTTTTGGGTCTCTGCTGTTGCTTGTCTTTGTCTCTTCCGTTTTTATTATTTTGCTTTTCTGCGCTTACTTGGTTTCCTGCATCCCCAGCACAACGAAAGAAGCTCTTACAAAATTTTCAGGCGTTGTCCTTTACCACCAGCGGATAATTTTTGGCGGAGGCCTAGCAGTAGCCTGAATGGGTCAAAAGATTTGGTTTCTTTACATAGAGCAAGCGCCCTTTCGAAGTGAGCTTTTCCCCCAGCGCGCGTGCCCCGGGCACAGGGCTGGGAGGCTCGTCCCACCGGCCCCGAGCCCACGGGCCGTGACCGCCAACTGGAAATGCTGTGAAGGGGGCCCACGTGCATGAATAAGCCTGAGGTTCACGAGCTGCGATGACTGAGTCGGAGTTCATCTTTTTAGTTCTGCCTGCCGCTATGTACGGCTGTGTGCTGATACGGACTTGTCTGTGTGACTTCCTTCATCCGTTTTCTTCCATGGAAATGACAGATTGTTTTATTTTGGACCTTTTGAAAATTACTGCGTGCTCGATACAGACATCGCAAAACGTTGTGAAGTTGCACAGTTTTTGCAGAGAACCATGCATTTCTATTCTTTAAACCCTTAACTTAGAAGGGAATGGGAATATGAACTTTTGGTATGGGAACTCCCATGGCTTGGAACTACTGAACTATAAAAAGTTTTCCAGTGCTTTATTTGATGTCTTCTAGATAGCTGTAAAATACGCTCCCTGCTTTGGTTGGTGCTAACCTTGACAGTCTTTTTTTTTTTTTTTAAATAAAAAAAAAAGCTGTCATTGCATTTCCTTTGTTGTTGAGATTAGTTTTAAGAGTTAGGCAATTTGAAGTTTGTTGACAGTAAGTACATTTGGATATTTTGGCTGGATTGATGATATGAAAAAACTGTGTACTTGAGCGATGAGCTAGTGCATACTGGAAAGACCTCCCAATCTTGAATTGCCAGAAAGGATCTGAAACTTGTTTAAACTACATCTGAAATATTACTGGGTTTGTGTTCTTGCTTCTTTAATAACTTGATAGTGTGGAAGCTTTTTAATTTCAGGTCACAATGGATATTACAAGGGGGAGCTTGGATAAAATTTCAAGGCCTGCATCTAGCTCAAGAGCTTATCCTAGTTGTAGATCTTTAAGTGCATCTATGGAGATATTAACACCAGAGCCATGTTTGCCAAAGGTAATGCTTTTCATTTTCAACAACTTTAAAGCACTGTGCCTCATTTTTCTTAGTAGAATGGCAAAGAAATAACTTTCTGATTTTTTTTTTTTTATTTTTAAACTTTGCACAGGATTCTGGAGTCAACAGATAGGCTGTGGGGTCACATGAAACTTCATGTGTATGGGCTGCTTCTTATGTGTGCTTGGAGTGATGTTTAATTTCATTTTTCCAAACCTGTGTTACTTTTTGGTTGGCTGTAGAAATGCCTATTCAGCATTACAACCTGGAAAGTGTGATTGTGTTCCTCTTTGTGCTTAATCAAATTATTAAATAAATTCTATTTTAATCAAAAAAAGCTTGATATAATGTTAATAATATTTAGATACAAAACTATAGATTTTTGAGCCACCAACCATTAGATGTATAAGTTAACTTCCATCCCATTTGTACTTTTAAACTTAAGTTGGAATAAAGATTACTTTGTTTACGGAAAGAAAGAATTTGAAAGTCTCACAAATTGAAATCTTGACTATGAGGCGCTCCATGTAGTCAGGAAATGTTTGAATTAAATTAAAAATTTCTTTACATATTATTTCATGATATCTGAGTCAGCTCCAGGAATTTGACAGATTCCTTTGGAAGTAAGGTGTCTGTACATCCTCTGAGGATATTTAATATTAAAGATTATCTTAATTTGGGGAAAGGAGGGTGCAGGGTGTGATAATTTGGATGTAGGAATTGGGACTCGAGAGTATGAGCTTTAGATTGATTTACATAGGTGAGCTGCCATGAGTATCCAATTGCATTGTACCTCCATTCACCTGTCTGTAAAATGGGATGATACCTAGGTGCTCCACAGATTTATTAAAATACATATTTTTTTTTCATAGGTTCATAGTCAGGTTTTTAAGGTTGCCATCAGATGACTTTGTATTAGCAATGATGAATTAGACATAAGCATTTCAGCCCTTGGAAGACTAGACTCTATAGTATAAGCAAGAGATTAGAATGTTACCTTGTGTCATGTACAGGATGAGGCTGTTGTATGCAATCTCTTGGTTGGTTGGTTGTATCCTTTGCTGCTGCAGATGGCATAGATCTTTGGAATCCCTTCCAAGTCTGGCAGTCTCAAATCTGGCAGTCCGTGGAACAATAAGCGTGTGAAAAAGGTGCATACAGAACAGTCTGTAGCAGGCCAGAAGACTTTTTTTTTTTTTTTTTTATTTAAGACATGTTCTGCAATCTTGCATAAAAGCACTGTTAGCCTTTGGAATAGCGTGTAGTTATCTCCACTATTAACCCTGTTTCTGATTTTTATGGTAGTAATTAGTTTGCTTTTTACAGGTTGATTCACCTGTTGGTTTGACCAGTAATCATCAGAGAGACCGTTTAGACTACTGCTATCCAGAGGAGAACAAAGATGACAGAGAAAAATCGGACATCAAGAGAATAAGAACAGCTAAACAAAACTCAGCGGAGAATATTACCCTCACTTTTCAGGAGTATATACAGAATCCTAATGAGTTGTCAGGTGGGGGAAGGACTAACGCTTTCCTGAGTTATGGCTAGACTGAATATTATGTTTGTGTAATTTGGGTAAAGTTCTGTTGGCAGCTGTAAAAAGGATGCAAGTAGGTAAAATCCTAGAAGAGAAGTAGGAGGAAGATGATGGTGTCAAAATTAACACCTTTACTTCTCTTCACTTGTTTGAATAATAATATAATAGTAATGGTGATGATAATATAGCGTGTGTCCTGTGACGTCTGAGCTGACGTCTGCTCGTTAGTGATGGCCTGAAAGATCAGGATAAACCCTCTGCATATAATCCATGGAACTATGCTAGAAAGTATTTTCAGTAGTGTTTCTTATCAAGCTGTTCAGAGATCATCGTCAGTTGTGAGAAATGATAAAGGTCCATCAATCCAAACAAATTGAAAAATATAGATATAAGTTACAGGATTTAACAACTGAACAATGCAAATACTAATAACACACTTCAAATATAAAAATGCAATATCTCATTTTAATGAAACAGCATGTGTAGAAGTGCTTCAATTCAATTTTTTTGGCATTCTGTAAATATTAATAAACTAATTTTCCAAAGCTTCTGACCTATTTAAAAACAAAGAATTGAAAGCCATTGTGTGAAGCAGAGGGTTTGGATACCCTCTTCAAGTTTAGATAGATTTCATGGTGGAATCATGGTCAAAAGAAATCCCTTAATTCCTGCGCCTATGTTAAGCATGAGTCTTAGTGTAATGGTAGCTATCATATTTAAACGGTAATCCATTGTAGAGGCTCTGTGGTGTTCCCTCGCTCGCGGAAAAGTGAATTTTAGTCTCTTAATAGTCCAAATGGTATCTTTAAAAGTTCATTTCATATTATCGTGAAAGGCTTTTTACTTGTGTTTGTTTTTCAGGATCTATCTCTAATTCAGATTCTGGGGATGATAGTGCTGAAATACAGACTTTCAAATTCAGTGAACCTTCCCAAGGGAAAAAAATAAGTAATACGAAAGAAGATATTACTTTTCAGATGTATAAAGTGAACAGCGCAATAAACTTTTTTTTTTCTTTCTTTGTTCTTAATGGTTCTAGGAGAATTTGGGACCTTTGTGTGTGCGTGCATGTGCATCTATCTGTATCTATATATATATTTATATATAGATAAAATATGTATAAAAATGCTATAAATAGAAAATGTATATGCAATGTGATGTTCGAAAGGTGGATGGTTAGTTGTTTAGGGATTATTTTAATAAAGGATACACTTTATTAAATGTTATGTTAGTATCTGACTTTTATGTCTGTTTGGTCAATCTAATAGAGCAGAATCTAGTGGTGACTCTGTCTAGAGCAGCAGTGCCAGTCATCTAAAATAACGTTTGTTTCATTGGGACAGAAATTGGTTAGAGTTCAACTTCAAAGTTTCACTCAGGTTTAGCTCCAGGTGCATCTCTGAGGTTCAGGACTGTTGAAATAAATGTTCTTTTTTTCATCTTTTGTCCTTGGGGCTTTCCCAGAGTTCAGTTGGATTTTTTTAGCTTTTCCCTTGTTGAATCGCTCATCTCTTCTGGCACAAAGTAAACTAATATGTCACAGTAAATCATTGGGGACAATGGGTGTGTAAAGCTTTGGTTTCAAGTGACTAGAAAATGGACAGGTACTCCTTCTGCATTTTAACTATATCCAAATTTGCTTCTAGTTTTTCATCAAAGGAATAGAATTGGAATTGCTGCTTTTTTTCTTCAGTGTTAGAAGTATTTTTATGTTTTAAACTTTGTTGCAGTCATCGCACCTTCTGGTGGTATCTGTGGTCCTCAATTCCCTTCCTCCCCTCTCCCCCCTCCCCGCACATGCGCTTGCTCACTCATTCTATCTTTTCTTTTTTCTTTCTTTTTTTTTTTTGAGTTTAGGTCATACTTGTATATTGAGACTCAAGCCAATAGCTCTAACAACCTTTAAAGAAAAAATACCAAACCCAGAATACGGACCTTATGATTATTTCAGCATTCAGTGCTATTTATTTGGTTATTGTACATTTATTCTCAGAAGACTAATTTGACCAGAAGAACTTGGAAACTGGTGGGATAAGGCAGTGCTGCAAGTATCTTCCTTTGCTCTTGCTCTAGCAGCCAGGCTTGACCAGAAATGCGGGTAGAGATTGGTGAAGGGGAAAAGCTAACAGTGATCAGAACCTGTAATCTGCATGTCTAGGGGAAAAAAAAAGAGGCAATGCAGAAATTTTAATTCAGTAGTATTAGTTTTTGTAATGTTTCACTATTTCCGTTTTACAAAACTACATTTTTTCAGAAGCAGTAGCCGACTCTGCTTTGGTTGAGGCATAAGTTGAGACTGAAACTTCTGGTTCTAGTTTAAAACTAGAAATATTAAAACTAGTTTAAAACTAGAAATATTAAAACTAGTTTAAAACTAGAAATATTAAAACTAGTTTAAAACTAGAAATATTATAGAGTCTCTCAACTTCAGGACTAGTCAAGTTAATGACTGACATTTCAGTTTGTATTCTAGTAGTCAATCTGAATCCGTGAAATTCTTTTTGAGTTTTAAGCTTATTTTGTCTGTGATTATAGTCAATGCTATGGAGATTTTGTCATTCTTCCTTTATAAATTTGACTCGCTTGCCAAACGGGGGGCTTCCCCCTACCCCAGGCCAACTGGAACAGATAAGAGCTTGATTCATCAGTCTTTTCAAAAAAGCTTTTTTTGTTTTTTTCCCCCTGCTACAAACAGATCTAGAAATGAGCATGATGTATATACCAGTGAATTATTGTACTCATCTGCAGTTTTTATCAAATTACTTGTACTATTTTTTTAAACTGAAATACATCAAGCTAATGTTAACTTTAAATTTAATCTGCAGCAAACTCCTCCAACTCAAAAGATTCTGAAGAGACAGAGGTAGATCCTCAGATTCAAGCAGCTATAAGGAAGATGAATAAACTTGACACAATATTGGCAAAAAAACTCTTTAAAGAGAGAGCAATTAAAAAACAAGGGAAAGAAGTGAGAGCAAAGCTCTGGGAAGAACTTCAGGTTAGAAATATACAACTTATGTAAATAAAACAGTATATTTAAGAGTATGTCTGTTATCTTCTGTAATTGTCTTAACAGAATTATCTAATTTCCCATAAACTTTTTTTTTTCATTAAATAACTCGCAGTTATTGACTGATTTAAAGCAAAGGAGTGGATCTTAAAAAGTAACTTTGAGTAATTTTTAATATATATTAGCTATGAGGCTTCTGAAAGAGGGACATGGTCCTTAAAAATTAATGTGACCAGTAGCCAAATGTACAGCTGTCTAGGTGTGATTTACAAGCACAGACAGTCTTATGTTTCAGCTCACCATTTGCAGGTATGATAAAGCATAACAAGAGGTAATATCTGTGAACTCGGTGCCAGGAGCATTTATTCTGCTCTAGTGTGACTGTTCTTAGGAGCGTCTATTCCAGAACTATCTGTTATGGAAGAAATTAGAGATGCCCCCTGAAGAAGGCATGAGAATGCTACAGCACAGTTTCTGTCACGTTACTCTCATCCTGTTCTCTAGCAGTTAGATGTTAATTTAAGCCTTGAAACATGAGATTTAGTATTTCTTCCAAAGTTAATTACAGTCTTGGATATTTTCTGTGAATACAAATATCAGTAGCTAAAAAGACATGATGGCAATCGATTTGACTGCATCTCATAATTTCAGTGGATTTGGATTGAGAACCCTGTATCCATTACAAAAGTTCTTCACCCTGTGAAATGTGTCTCCACATAAGACACAATACGTAACAGATACTTTCAAGTTCCACCATATCCTCATCAAAACTTTAAGAGATGTTCTGATAGCCTCAAGAAGAAAACAAATTATTTTGATATGGTTTAAAGTTAGCTGCATTTGAAGTTCTTATAAGCAGATAGTGTTTTGCTACAACTTTAAATATATACTGTTTATATTTATGCTTTATTTCTTTTAAATAGTCTATCAGTACCTCTGGAAGTCAGGAGGAGATAGAAAACACAAAACATTTTTTAGCTTTGATCTCATCATGGCAGGATACAGCTGGTAAGTAAGACAGACAAGTGAATATCCTGATATGATTATCCTCTATTTTGGGCGTATTTGGACAATAAGCAAGGAAATAAAAATTGTTTTGATAAACAAAAAAAAATCACGAGGTTACTGAGGTACTGGGGGGTGTGAGTGAAAGAGGTTGCCAGGCTGGAATACTTGGTGTAGGAAGGTTAGGCGATTAAAAAATGTTAATCTTAAGCATTGCTTAGAAGCTCAAGGGGTGATGTGGGTGTCTCACGTGTATCTGGGAGAATATTTTCAAGTTGGAGAAGGGGAGGAGAGAGTGAGAAGGAAGCAATGGCAATGCCGTGGTAAGGATCTGATAATATGACTGTACCAGAAGAAGGGAAAACCTGAGTCCTTTTAGGAACTCTTAACAAAGGTACTGACAGAATGGGACCAAATGATGGTACTTACTACTCAGTTACATGTTGGAAAACAATGCAGGAAGATGCACACTACCCAGGTCCTTGAAATGTGGCAACAAACATTAAATTTGATACTGATTGTGTTAAATTAAATTTACTTTTGGAAAAGTTGTTAAGATTCTGAAAATGAGAGACAATTTGAGTAAAAGGGATCATCGAATATTATAGAGTGTGATTCTAAGGAAAAGGCAGAATGCAAACCATGAACTTAGTTTTTTTAGGTCTTTTTTTTGTTTCCTGAGAATTCTAGGGAAAAAGTTAAGATAGTTAGCCACTTTAAAAAGCAGAACTGTGTTAAAGACATACTGTCAAAATATTATCTGGAAGGAAAGACAGGAAATCTGGTAAGATAACTTTTGAGCTTCATACTGATATGTAGATTAAGACAAAAATATTCAAAGTAGAAATGAACACACTGATAAGAAACAATAGTTGCAATTTAGTTTTTTGTCTGAAGATAAAAACAGGCTAAGTAAAGTCAGTACCATCTTAAGTAGGATTTAAAACACCAAGAAAATTCTGTAGCTCCATTACAAGTGGACAGACGACTAAAGAAGGATCAAGGTCTTTAATGAGAAGGGTGAACAAATGATTAATGGCACAGAGAAATATGGAATGTGATGCATAAAAAAATTATCCTAAAAGTTACAGTTAATATCAATATTGTAAAACCATAGCTAGAATAGCGGCAGACTAAGTTAAGGACTATTTAGAAATGTTTTCCCTACTACAGAATGCGTTTTCTACTGAAGAGCATGATTCTGCTGGAGTTCTGTAGCAAATGGTTGAAGCGCACTCTGAGTTATTGGTAGTTATCTTCAAGAACGCACAGAGGATGTGCAAGCTCCCAAAGGACCTAGGAAAAGAAAAACACTGGCTATTTTGAAGTGTCCTCCCTTCCCCTTCTGTTGCTAGACTACTATTGGTGGAGGTACTGGAACAAACTGTAGGCATCCTGCTCACAATGTCTTTGTCGGTGGGTAGAGGAACAGGAACGGATTGTTTGGATTTGTCAAGAATATATTATGTCAAAATTATGCTCAGAGTAGTTTACAAAAATTTGCTGTTAAAGTACAGTCGGTCAGTGTTGGAGTTCTCAGAGATATCTCAATCCTATACACATTCTGCAACCTGCCCTTCTTCTCTCTGCCATGGTTGAAAGGATTTCCTGTTTGAAAGAAAACAGAATTGTAGTGCATCCTGCCTTTTCTGTTGCTGGAGAGGGCATAAGGATTTGAGGTCTGAATAGATATTGTTGGGCAAAAATCTGAGCTTGATTGTTTGGACATATGTGCATACTAATGTAGGAATATGTGGTGAAAAAAATTAAACAAAACTTACTACTCCAAGGTAAACTACTTTTATTTCTATGCTTAAGTTTTGGTTATTAAGGGAAGAACACAAGATTTAGCTTGGTAAGGGTGGAATGCAAAAAGTGTCCAGTAGGTGTCAGCATCTAATAATAATAATAAACGGTGGGTAAGCCAGAATATATGCAATTGCTAATGAGCTACATGCTTCGTTTAGTTATTCTTTTCAAAGGTTACTCAATGCCGTAGAGCACGTGTGCCATATGGGTTCTAGTGTGCCATACTGGCAAAGTTCTGCATAGTTTAGATTTATTTTTCTCCCCCAGCATGATCTTTGTCTTATTCTTTCTATAACATGCTAGTGCCTGACTTCTCAGGTCTGCTTTTTTAGGACTGACAGCCCAGATGGTTGTCCAGGTTGATAAGGAAATGGAATGTAGTTCATATATTTTGCTTTTCAGAGCTTGAGTTTGATACAGAGCTTTATTTGATGATTTTTTTTGTAACTTATACTGCCAGCTGATATATGTCAGGACCATGACTTGGTTCTTTTTCTTAGAGTACTTGAAAAAACTTTTATATGCTAAGGAATTTGAATGCTCTTTTCTCCAGATTATACCCTTGCCGTTTGAAAGTCTAGTAATTCAGGCACAGGCAGATATCAACTGTGAAAATCTGGGTACTTTATTCTCACTTCAACCTCCAGATAACTTGCCGCAAGGTGTTTGCTGAGACTTTTGAGCATTATGGCCTAGGGCTGTATCTTCTGCAATGTAATTATTTGTCCTGTATGTGCATATACTTATATATATTCAGCAGCTGTTAAAAACAAAAACACGATGATGTTTGAACATGAGATACGTGAAACAGTATAAAGTGTTTTCTTCTGTTACATGTTCTTATTAACAAAACACACCTTATTCTTTCACCTCTATTTCTTGAAAAACAGGGTGGTGATGTAATTTATCTAAAAAAAAAAAAAAAAAGAATTTCTATAACTTTTATGTGTGAGATTATATAGAATGATATGCATGAAACTAGGTCTTCTTGAAATACATTTTAATTAAATTCTACTAAAAATTTCTTAACAGATTCCCTCCACGTTAAGGAAGATGAAATATGTATTTCAGTATTTCACACACAAATTAATCCAGAGGATTATGATTGTCGTAAAAGCCAGCATAATCAGGGTAAGCTTTAGTAACTATGTTGTTTGTATTTCTAGATATGGTAAAATAACATGTGAAATAGGTGGGTAATGGGGGACTTTGCCTTCATGGCTGTGCCAAAAAGTCAGAAGAAGTAAGTTTGTCTGTTGGAATGGCAACAGTTCTTAGTTTTTGACAAATGATAAAACAGAAAACCTTTGTAACAAACCTAGATCATTTTATTCAATGTGATGAACAAATTTTTACTTTCAGATTATATCACCTTTTTCAGTGTAAAGTGATAAAGGTTTGTAGCAGGTTCATTAGAAAATGCATCACTGGTTCTTCATGGAAATTCTTTAAAACTTACCTTTGTTAATCTAAAGTTCTATATTCTTTCATTAACAGGCTTATATTCAAGAAATCATCTAAAACGGCGTTGAAACTGTGTACAGTGTCACTCTGTTCTGTAACTTTTTTTGGTCAAGAGAAATCTTACGGATGTTGTGGCAAAGCTAATCTTTGGATAACTCCTTTTTTTCTTTGATGCTGATTATTGTAGAGTCTTAATTGCTCACGTGGATTGAGTGATTGCTGGCAAAGATCAAACATCTATACTGATTCTTTTAGACATTACTTGTTTACATGGCACTGTTTAGAAGCATGAAATGCTGATGGTAGCTTAGAGGGTCCTACACTTCAAAATAAATAGAATTATGCTTTTGTGCCCTATTCTTTCCCAATTTGAAATACACATTTTTGTGGTTGTGTGCTGTTGCACATACAATTTTGAGGTGATGTACATCCTCTTAGTTTGGGAACTCACAAAGTGGAGATCACTTGCAACTTATGAGCAATAAAGTACTTAAATGACTTTTACTGTTTCTGCTGCAGACTGTTGGTATGGTTTCTGGTTTGTAAGACCTGTTATTTTGGTTGCTGTTGGATTTCTGTATAATGGTTGTCATAAAAGGTAGGGCCTGAGCAAGAGGAGCTTAAAGTGTTAAGAAGATTGTTTTTTTTTTTTTTTAATATACTATTTTATATGTTATTGCTTAAGCAATCTCATTGAGATCAAACTTAGTCTTTCTTTTATTTACTCAGGGTGATTTCTAATGTTTTCCTTGTCACAGTAATCCAGGTCTGTCCTTTCTTTACTTGAATGTTCTGAGATATCGTGTATGATGGCTCCCTCTCAAAAGCTCTCATGCTGCAGGTAGCGAAAAATGTAATTTAAAAGTAGTGTTTCATATATGCTGCATGTTCATGCTTTGTATTTTGCTCATTTCAGAACACAACTTATCATGTTCGTATTTATTTCTAAATTCTTACATAATTCCACTTCCTAGATAGATTCTCTTCCCGTGTTACCTGGCAACATCAGAGACAGTTTAGGATGCTTTCTGTAAATAGCTTTGAATTTGTACTGTGACAGAGTTTTCCTGGTGGTCAGGTCCCACGCCTCATTCTGTTAGGGTTTGCTTGCAATTTCAGAGTAAGTCTGAGAACGTTGCACAGTTTTTGTCCATAGGTTGTAAAAGGATGCACTGAATTTATTTTATATTTTTGGGAATTTGCTTTTAGTCTGCTCAATCTGCAAAAGAGTTCAGTAGATGTAAACTATAAAAGAATGAACTGCTAGAACCGCAGTGACTGCTGTGTCATACCCTATCTTCTAACATGTTAAACTGATTTTTTTTTTTAATAGCCAAAATAATTCTGTTTTTCAAATCTCTGCTTTTCAGAAAAGGATAGTATTGTGACAATACTATGGAAGTAGTCTGTGAGACTTAGAGAAAGATGTCTGTATTTGCTTCAACTTGTTATTTAATTTGATAAATCTTTGGTTTTCTTGGTGATCGTAGAAGAATTACTGTTTTAAACTAGTTGAAGTCTGAACAACAGAGTATGTGCCCACTTTTATATGATAGATAGACAGAAAACCATTGCTGGGAAAAAAAAAAAGTGTGCTTTAGCCAGAACATTATCAGATGTAATTGTTACAAAAAATGTACGTAATTGTTTAATAGCCTTACAGTTCAAAGGTATGCTTTGTTTTTGGAAAAAAATCTGTTTTATAAGCCATCTTATAATATCATCAAATATATCATCTGTTTTTCAGCTGTTTTAATTTAAAAAAAAAAAAAGAAGTACTTGATAGGTCTCCAAATAGTTCTGTGGTTTCCCCAAAAACTATTTTCTGGTTTTGTACTGATGATAAAACTGAAACAATAAGAGGGTTAGAAGGAATGCCATTGCTTTTAAAGCCTCCATGTTTAACATTTTTGAGGTCAGAAATCCAAAAGTATTTTAGCCTTTCTAACTTTGAATGAACTCATATAATAAAAGCTCAAAAAAAGAGATTAGTCTTTGATAGTTATCTGTTTTCAATATAGCAATAGGGTTGGTACAAATATTGAAAATGGCACATCAAAAGTTTATGTATCTACTTTACATGTTTGTTAAAGATTTAAATTGAATTACTTTTATTACAGCTCTGATTGAATTAGAAAAAGAGTGGTCTAACTTTGCAACTTCTTTTTCAAACTTCAGATCGTACAAATGAAACAAAAACAAATGGATTTCTGAGTCAAGCGGAAAAAACACGTAATAAAAGCAATCAGGATTTCATTAAAAAGAACATTGAGGTAAGCATTAAGACCTAAAATCATTAGCTTTTTTGTTCATGTTAACTGAAACAGTAGTATTTAAGCCCTTCTAGGGACAGTTGAGTTTCTTGAGGAAACAAGAATGTTCTTTGAGGAACATTAAACGTAAAATCTTGCTATTAACAATTGCTTTTTATTCCACACTGCTGTATAAGATAGTCCTCATCTTGGTGCTCATATTTGTAGGATTGTGGTAATACGCTTTTATGTATTTGCAAAGGGGAATTGTTCTGTTTGTGCCTGGACATAGCTTGTTTTGAGGACAAGTATTTCCTAAAAATCTTTCTTTAAATATATTTACTGTTAAGTTAAGAGAAGCTATCCTTGTCTGTAGATAGGGACTAGATATACAAGTTGTTCATGTGCAGCCCACACAGAACCCTCATCTACAGAGAACTTTTATCAGAAAGTAGATGCCTTGACTTCCCTCCTTTTGTTTCTCTAAGCCTGTAGTAGCTATAATGACTTTTTCATCCAAAAAAACCCTGCGCACATGTATGTCAAAGATGGATATAAATGTATCGGCTTATTATATATAGGTTGCTAGATTTTGCTGTCAGAGTGATAATTTGTGCTATGGCAATAAGCAAGACTGGATGTTAATTTCATAGAATTTAAAAAGTTCGATGCCGTTTGAGCTAATAGGTTTCTAAAGGGCTTTTTTTGTTTGTTTGTAAAAACTTCAGCTGGCAAAGGATTCGGGAAACCAGGTTGCTTTGCTTGAGGGAGAAAAGAAAAGGTTGATTGAACTATTGAAAGATACAGAAGATGGAAGTGAATTGCAGGGTCTTGAGGTATGAAAACTTTAATTTGTACTGTCCTGTTATATGTGGCTTGCTTTTAGTGTAAATCTAAATTTGATTTTGTTTTAGTCTCATCACAGCGTGACCTACTGCAGTAGGAGAAAATAGCTAAACAAACCTCATTGGATTTGTCTGCACAAATGACCTTTTGTTAGCTTCCTTGTTCACTTTACTAACACTTGGAACTTCTCAGGGCTCTGAAGAGCAGCAGAACTTTCAGGGAAAGTTAGGCCCAGGTGGAAGGAGCCTTAAAGAATACCCAGAGATGGTCTATTTCCTCTGCATAAAATGTGAGGCTATTTCCTCTCAACCTGAGTGGCTAGCTGCTATAATCTGTGGTAGAAGGGCCAGCAATTTCTTCAAAAAAAAAAAAAAAGTGAGATTTTTTTGGGGACATAAACTTCAATCGTGCAACAGTTGGGGAAATATACATTGATGAAGTTTATATGTGCATTTGGAAAGATAATGAAAGATAATGGCTTTCTACTCCATTAAGGAACTAAAAGTCTACTTCAACTATAGGCATTTATACTTTTAATGTAATGTTATTAAAGAGCAAGCAGTTTGGGCATTGTGTTTCACTTCTGCGTGCTGCAGGAGATGGAAATAGCTGAAGCACATAGAAATGCCCTTTTAAAGAGAGAATGAAGAAGACTGTCCCAGCAGTCATTGCTTCTAGGGGAGTCTGACTGATCTACATTTCCACAAAACGATTCCCAGTAATGTGAACATGTTATCTAGTTTTTTGGTCTCCTACTTCTTAGCAGATGGCCTTTATTCCTTACTCTTATGAGGGAAATGTCACAATGATGGAGTTTTGGGGGGGCTGTCCTTGAGAGACAAAGTCTGTTAGGGTGGGAAGATAAAATTTGATTTGACAAATGAAAAATACTGGAAAGTTGCAATATTTTAAAAATATATATGGTATCAAATGTTCTAAAGATAAGTGTTTTCACAGTATGATCGTCCTTAAACTATGTAAACTTTGGTATAACACTTCAAAAAACAGCATTGTAATAACTAAGAAGAAATATTGGGAAAAATGCTTACTTTGTGTACAGAAATCAAGTGACCTTTTTGTCTGGTTTTAAATTAAAATGTGCTTTGTGTAAAGTCTATAGTAATGATCTTTTTCATTATTTGTGAGTATACGTTAAGTCACTGTACCTAAGAGAAAGATGTCAACTTTGTTTAGAACGAAGGAAATGCATACAAGTTACAGTTTCTGTTTAATTTATACAGCTAAAAATCATCTAGAGTAAGTTATTTTTCTGTAGCAAAGTTGTAGTGTAACAACTTGTTTGTGAGAGAGGAACAAAAGCAGATGCAGTGTATTTTATTTTTATTCTTTCTTCCCATAGTTTACTTGGAGTTATTTGCTAATAAGGTGGTGAAGGCATCCAAGAAGCAGTGTCCTTCATAACCCCCTTCTAAAACAGGGCTAAAATCCATCCTTATAAATTACTATCTTAGAATATAGGGGTTGGGAGGTGAGCTCAGGAATTTCTTCATCTGATTCTAAACTGGTAATGAAAAGGGAGAAATAACCTGCTTTGTTACCCATGGTTTGTGGCATAAAACAAATCTGCGATTTACCCAACTTCAGTATGTCTACTGGTTGTCATTCACACTGTCAAAAGCCCCAGACTCTTTCTTTGCTCCAGGGAAACTAATAAATGTACATAGTGTTTCAGCATTTTCAGGGCTTTGTGGGACTAACGCAAGTGATGGAGTCCATATCAGAGTCAGGAAAATCTGATGGACAGATGAATAAGATGTGCAGTTCTTTAATGGTAATTGTTCTTTTGTAAGTAGAAAACTATAGCAGAAGCATGGAGAATTTAACCTTTGCTGATCATTGATATGCAAAGGTTTAAAACCGTCACCCACACTCAGTGCTTGTGTTGATGAGAGGAAAAACTTTGACTTCTGTAAAATTGCATCAGACTTCCTGTTACCCTGACGTTCTTTCTGTCACTTTATATAGAAAGCTTATTTACTTTTCTTTATACCACATGAACAGAGCACTTGCAGAACTGGTATTTTTTTCTAAGATACTCATCAGTTAATGGTTTTGCACAGTGATGTTTGACTTAACTGAGAGAGTCTAGCATCAAAAGAAGGCTGTGAAATGGACTCCTGGCCTGATATTCATGTACTGGTTAGGAGTGTTGATTTTTATTGTATTTTTAGTTTGTTACACATTAAAAGAACAAAGGTAAAGCTCACTGGATCGTTATTTAATTAATCTTTTGTCTGTGCATTCAGGAAAAGTGTCTGTGCATTCAGGAAAAGGTTCAAGGCCTTCTTTTAGATATACTGAAAACAGATTGGGTATTATAGTCCCATATAAGGGTGACAAAAAGTTCAGTTGAAACAGTACTTTATCCACCTTTACAGTAAGAAGAAACTGTTGGGAGAGTGTGTGCATTTTTGTTGTTTTTTGTTTGTTTGAGGTTTTTTTCCCCATTATGGGAGAGGTTGGGATTTGATTAGTAGCACCATCTATTCTCTTCTCCTTCCCTGATCAAGGTTGTGTTTCACTTTAAAGATATGCTCTTTCATGTGATAAATCTCAACATTTGAAGATGTGAAGATCCTTAACAGGCTTTTTGCTAGTTTTCTGATCTACAGAAGAGTGTTTTTATTGTTTTTAATAATTTATTGAATGGATTCAGCAGCTGGCAAATATGTCTTCTCTCACAATAGATAATTTGTTTTCTTTTTCTTAAAGCTAATGTCTTTCATAAAATTTAAAGGTATTTATTCAGAGTAGCCAATTCAAATTAGCCACTAGCAATGACTGCCTTTTTGGTGCACTAGTTCTCAGGGTATCAAGGCAATGGCAGAGTATAGCATTTATCCAAGTTTTGCATTTTGACATGCGTCACTAGCATGTCACTAGACCTGTATTTATAGAAATTATGCTATTTATATCAGATATTAAATAGCTCATTAAAGAAGGCATATGTTTTACTGTAAGTTCCTGATACAGTCGGCAAGAATGGGAGTGGTAATTTGTAGGTTGGTCTGTACCACAGATAATCTCTTTAAACAAAATAGCTACTAAATCTATTGCCAAAGCAGGATAGAAGAAAGGATAATACTTAGTTACTTGAAACCTGCCTAGTCTGGAAACGTATTCTTTCTCTCCCATGTTTGAATGATATTGTGGATGAGGTGTTTCCTGTGGCTACTTAAAATGAAGATCATGAGCAAGTTATTAACTAATGTGTAATCTAGACTGCACCAAACTGTCTGAGGTAACTGTCCAGCTGATGGCTGCTTTTATCTTGCTTGATTCCAACTTTTTAAAAGCTGGTGCAACCACACTGGCTAAAGTAACGTTATGGAGATTGTCAATCAAGGTGGAACTGGGTGTGCTGTACTCATTCTTCTGTACAGTGTAATGTAGATTAGATAACTTAATTTGATTCATTTTACTAAATATCTCAAATATCCAAATAGCACTTTTCACGTAAAGTGCTTTTTTGGCTATTTACAGTATTTCAGAAGTAAATATTCAAGCTAGTCTAACTGTCAAAACTACAAGTTTTGTTTCAGATGCTCCAATAATAATAAGCACTGATTGTGCTGTTACAGAAGTATTTTCTGAGTTAATACATAGGAAACATTGACAGGACAGAAGCTTATTTTCCAAGAAAAATGTTAAATCACAGGCCATCTTGAAAATGCAAAAGAGATTGTGTGAGTGCATTTAACCCTAGAGTAAAGTGGCTACTGGAATAATTTGGATACTTTGGAGCGTGGGATATGGACATTGAGCTGTAGCTAATGAGCCCATTTGGAGCTGAACTAACTCTGTGGAATCATTTCTGTGTTTTTTGTGTCGTGCTCTTCAGTGTCTGGTTAGGGGATGAGTAGCACAGCACAAGTTTAGTGCCACGCTGGATGCTTCTGTTATGATGGTCACTCTCTGACCTGAATAGGTGCTCCCACAAAGCTGGAAAGCTTCTTCTAGAGACAATTCTGAGCAGTTCTCCTGGAGTCAGGCCTGGTGTGGTCATGCTTAGTCATGCTATCAGACCCAGACTAGTTCTATGGTTGGCTAATTAGGGATAGCTGAATTGTACTGCTAGCATTCCTAGGCCTGGGAACGTGTTGCTGAAACACCAGACCTGAGCCAGCTTCAGGAGCCTAACTTGGATTTCATGCCTTGTGAAAGTGCCCAAACTTGTTATATACTCTAGGAAGAAACCATGTTTCCACAGTTCTGTGCTTGGATTGGTAAATTTTAGTAGGACCCAAGCTGATTCAAATGTAGGTTTCTGGGTACCTATCTTCATTCACAGATGATCTGCAGTCTGGACAATATACCCAGCGATAAATGAGGATTGATTGACCTGCATTCATCACAAGATGCTGTCTTGCTGCTTCATGAAATTTTATGCTGGAAATTAGTCATGTTTGTATGTTGTAGTCCCATGCAATCCTTCTTTTGCTTATAGGGCTACAGTCCAAGGTGGTATTTCCACTGACTTTAAAAAAAATATAGATTTTGTGCCTGCCTTCTCTTACTTTTCTTCTTTGTAACATGTACTTGCGTGAGAAAGTGCTAGGACTGATTTTTTTTTTTCCCCCCCCCCACAAAGGAGCTTGTTTATTCTTTAGTATGGAAATAATTTATGACAAGTGTTAGATTTTTCTTGTTGTGTGTTTCTTTTTTTTTTTTTTCCTCAACCAGTTACTGGAATTCCATTGACCAGTCATATTAAAATAAATTCTAATAGCTTTTCAGATATTTGCTGTTTAGCGTGAAGATGGCTCTGACTTATGAGGACTGTTATTAGCACTAAATTATGCTAATTTATATTTAAACATTTTGTAGGTATAGAATGCTGCTCTTTGGCAAGATCTTTTACAGAAGGCATCTCTAATGTGGGGATTTGGAAGGTAGTATTTGTGATATGAATGGCACTTATTTAGCCTTGATGTATATGTATAGTGTTTCCTCCCCTCCTCCTTCCTCCCCCCCGCAAATTTCTTATTAAAGATCTCCTTATAATGAACTGATTTTACTCAGAGATTGCAGGGTATGATGTAGAAAGAACGAACAGTTCCAGTAAGTGAAGCTGATGTAGTTGTATGAGCCTTGGTCAGTGATAAGTTCTTTTACTCTAAAGGCACAGCAGGAAAGCAATGTGGCTGACCAGGGATGACTTCACAACAGCGGTATTGTAATTGGAAGCTAATATTTCCTCTTGTGTGGATGTGGCTGCTGGAGTAGCTAGAGGATTAATCTGGAAGCTCTGAAGAAGTAGTGGGCATGAATCCCCTGCAAGGCAGATGTTGCAGCCTTTGAGGCAAGGTGATGGCCCTCTTCTGTTAGAAGAAAGAAAGGAAACCTCTTTCTCCAGTTCCCTGCTCTCCCTTTGTAAGGTGCTAGCTGGCATTTCTTTGGGATCGGGACATAAGATTAGATATAATCTCTTAGCGTCATTCCCAATGACTAGTGGTTGCACAAACCTGGTTCCCTGGCTGTAAGACAGGAGTGCCAGATTGCTGCGGATAACCTGCATCTGTTTGTGAATATGATCTTGTCTGTTTGAGTAAAGTGGGCAAAGGTCACTCATAATCTGCAACTGTCCATGCTGGGCGCCTGTGTTTATATTGTTTAGGCAAGTGTTACCGCTATCATGAGGATCAAGTTGTCTAAATCATGGTCAGGAAAAAATTCTATGATCTCTGCATCTCCAAGTTTGTTTTGTTTTGGTGGGTTTTTTTTTTTGGGGGG